AAGGAAGTTAGTAGGACCTATGAGTAATAATGTAAAATTATAAGGAAGTTATGAGGGACCTATGAGTAACCATACAAGGAAGTTATGAGGGACCTATGAGTAACCATACAAGGAAGTTATGAGGGACCTATGAGTAACCATACAAGGAAGTTATGAGGGACCTATGAGTAACCATACAAGGAAGTTATGAGGGACCTATGAGTAACCATACAAGAAAGTTAGGAGAGACCCATGAGTAACCATACAAGGAAGTTATGACAGACCCATGAGTAAGGAGGCCCATACAAGAAGTTATGAGGGATCCATGAGTAACCATACAAGGAAGTTATGAGGGACCTATGAGTAACCATACAAGGAAGTTAGGAGAGACCCATGAGTAACCATACAAGGAAGTTATGACAGACCCATGAGTAACCATACAAGGAAGTTATGACAGACCCATGAGTAACCATACAAGGAAGTTATGAGGGACCTATGAGTAACCATACAAGGAAGTTAGGAGAGACCCATGAGTAACCATACAAGGAAGTTATGACAGACCCATGAGTAACCATACAAGGAAGTTTACAGACTCCAATGAGTAACCATATTTGGAGGGGGAACAAAAGAAGTTATGAGGGACCTATGAGTAACCATACAAGGAAGCTATGAGGGACCCATGAGTAACCATACAAGGAAGTTATGAGGGACCTATGAGTAACCATATAAGGAAGTTATGAGGGACCCATGAGTAACCATACAAGGAAGTTATGAGGGACCCATGAGTAACCATACAAGGAAGTTATTAGGGACCCATGAGTAACCATACAAGGAAGTTATGAGGGACCCATGAGTAACCATACAAGGAAGTTATGAGGGACCTATGAGTAACCATGTAGAAGTAATATTAGCGACCCATGATTAAAAATGTAGGAAATAAATAACTAAAGTCACAATACTACCGTGACTGGAACATAATACACAAATAACTCGCACATGTGAGAGGGAAGCTTACCACGACGATGTTTCAGTCCAACTTTGACCATTTACAAAGTCACACTGTCTTAACACTGTCTTAACACTGTCTTAACACTGTCTTAACACTGGCTTAACACTGGCTTAACACTGGCTTAACACTGTCTTAACACTGGTTTAACACTGTCTTAACACTGGCTTAACACTGTCTTAACACTGTCTTAACACTGTCTTAACACTGGCTTAACACTGTCTTAACACTGGCTTAACACTGGCTTAACACTGGTTTAACACTGTCTTAACACTGGCTTAACACTGGTTTAACACTGTCTTAACACTGGCTTAACACTGGTTTAACACGATGGTTAAGCCAGCAGTTACTAGATTCAAGAGAAGATTTTCACAAGCCAGAAACTAACAAATTCATTATAGGTTGGAAAATTTCCTTGCCTTTAAATTCACATACAATGTCGATGTTGTACAGAACACGTACTGAACACGTTGATATGGGCTAGAACACTGAATGAACATGTTGATCACAAACAGAACATGTACTGAACACTTTGATCTGGAATAAAACACTCATTGAACATTCACATAAAACGCTAAATGTTGTTCACACCTGTATAGACACACGTGAGTCGTGCTTCACATAATGTGAATGTTGGTAGTGAGTTGTGGTGGTGAATGTTGGGGTGAGTTGTGATGGATGATTGATGGTGAGTTGTGGTGATGGATGCTTTATAATGAGTTGATGGTAAGTTGCGGATATGGATGGTTGATGGTGAGTTGTGGTTATGATGGTTGGGTTGTAGTTTTGGGAATGGTGTTTGAGGGCGAGTTGGGTTGGTTATTGATGTGTGTTGGGGATGATTGATGGCGAGATTTGAGGTAATAGTTTTTGTAGTGAGATTGTGGTAAGGAGATGGTTGAAGATGAGTTGGGGAAAGAGGGGTTTGGTTAAGAGAGTTTGGAGATGGGTGTTTGAAGATGAGTTTGTGGAGTGGGTGGTTTGAAAGAGATTGTTAATGGTGAAGATGAGTGTGGAATGGTGTTAAGATGAGTTTGGAGATGGGTGATTGAAGACAGTTGTTAAGATAGGTGGTTGAAGATGAGCTGTGGAAAAGGGTGATTGAAGACAGTTGTAAGGATAGGTGGTTGAAGATGAGTTGTGGAGTTTGGGTGGTTCAAGATGAGTTTGTGGAGATGGGTTGTTGAAGATGAGTTGTGAAGATGGGTGGTTGAAGATAATTGAGATTTTGGAATAAAAGGTATTTATAGTAATGGATAGTTAATGAACAATGTAAAACCGAGAATAAAATTTACGCTGATTAAACAGCTTCGTTGAGGAATTGTGTTGGAAAGCAGGTCGTTTATCACGTCACGGTTCTCCTGAACCATCTACATTCTGTAGATACTGCAACTTCTTGAGATCTTAATACTTAGAATTCTTGTCTAACCCTTGGGCATGACCTACTTCCACATTGGACAAAATGTGGACTCACTACGACTGCTGCACCTCTCCTGCCTACAGTATATAAGCCCCACTTTTCGCTCATATGCTGTATTCTATTCAAGATTGATGGACTGACCACATCGACTCAAGGTTGAGGGACTGTACTGATGATAGCCACTGTGTCGCGAGAAGTAATCTCTGAAAAGATAACCCAAGAGGTGCCTCATGTGTCTAATTTATTCAACATGTCGGTTTCTCTGGAAAACCATTCATCTACATACATCTAAAACTTTTTTAGATATTATTTTTATATATCAAGGTTACTCATTTTTATAATGGTATCAGAGGATACATGAAGAATTTTAACTTCATTTCAATACCTATTTTCAGCTTGGAGAGTTGAGGAAGGTTACAATACCAAAACTATGGTCACGCTTATTCATCAAATGAATATTAAAGATCATGATTTTGTTAATTTTTAATTTTTGATGTATGCAGGAAACATGTCTGGGCATGTTATCTTTGTCGCCATCCTCTGCACGGGATTAATACATAAAAACTTAGTCTTCTGTGGTATTTTTCACCTCACTGGTAATTTGTTGAGATATTCCTGCCAAGGAATGAGAGGATCGCAAATTGTAAATAGTCGAGATCTTCATCAAACTTACTGAAATTTTTGTTATAAATCCCATTTTTAAGTTTTGTTATTTTAATCAGAGCAAAAAGGGAATAGCTACTTAAAAACAGCAGAAAGGAATGAAGAGAGTGTAGTGTGGACCTGGTGAGTGTATAGTGTGGACCTGGTGAGAGTGTAGTGTGGACCTGGTGAGTGTGTAGTGTGGACCTGGTGAGAGTGTAGTGTGGACCTGGTGAGAGTGTAGTGTGGACCTGGTGAGAGTGTAGTGTGGACCTGGTGAGTGTATAGTGTGGACCTGGTGAGTGTGTAGTGCGGACCTGGTGAGTGTGTAGTGTGGACCTGGTGAGAGTGTAGTGTGGACCTGGTGAGAGTGTGTGGGCCTGGTGAGAGTGTAGTGTGGACCTGGTGAGTGTATAGTAGTGGACCCAGGTGAGTGGTAGTGTGGACTGGTGAGAGTGTAGTGCGGACCTGGTGAGTGTTAGTGTGGACCTGGGTGAGTGGTAGGCGGACCTGGTGAGAGTGTAGTGGGGGACCTGGTGAGTGTATAGTGTGGACCTGGTGGTGTGTAGTGCGGACCTGGATGAGAGTGTAGTGTGGACCTGGTGGAGAGTGAAGTGTGGACCTGGTGAGAGTGTGTGTGGACATGGTGAGTGTATAGTGTGGGACATGGTGAGTGTGTAGTGAAAGACCTGGTGAGAGTTTTAGTGTGGGACCTGGTGAAGTTTAGTGTGGACCTGGTGGAGGAAGTGTAATTTAGGACCTGTAGAGTAGTTGGACCTGTGAGAGTGTAGTGTGGACCTGGTGGGTGTATGTGGTCCTTGGTGATAGTGTAGATTGAACCTGGTGAGAGTGTAGTCTGGACATGGTGATGAGTGTGTGTGGACCTGGTGAGAGTGAAGTGGGGACCTGGTGAGTTAGTGTGGAACTGGTGAGAGTTGTAATGTGGACCTGGTGACAGTGTCATTGACCTGGTGAAAGGTGTAGTCTGGACCTGTGATAGTGTGGACCTGTGATAGTGTAGTGGCACCTGGTGAGGAGTAGTGTGGACCTGGTAAGGTTGTAGTTTGGCTGGTGAGTGTGGTGTGGACTAGTGGAATGTAGTGAGGACCTGGTGAGAGTGTAGTTTGGCACCTGGTGAGTGTTGTGTGGAACTCGTGAGAGTGTAGTGTGGACCTGGTGAGTGTAGTGTGGACCTGGGGGGTGGCGGGGCTCGGAGGGAGTGTAGTGTGGACTGGTTAGAGTGTATCTGGACCTGGTGAAAGTGTAGTCTGAACCTGGTGAGAGTGTGTGTGGACCTGGTGAGAGTGCATTCTGGACCAGGTGAGAGGTGTAGGTTGGACCTGGTGAGCGGGTAGAGTCGATTGGTGAGAGGCTAGTGGTCGACCTCGTGAGAGTGTAGTGTGGACCTGGTGAGAGTGTGTGTAGGACCTGATTGAGAGTGTACTGTGGGACCTGGAGGAGAAGTTGTAGTGTGGACCTGGTGGAGTGTACTCTGGACCTGGTGAGATGTACTCTTGGACCTGGTGAGAGTCGTAGTCGTGGATATGGTGAGAGTGTAGTCTGGGGGGGGCCTGGTGAGTGTAGTCTGGACCTGGTGAGAGTGTAGTGTCGACTGTGGAGTGTAGTCTGGAACCTGGTGATAGTGTGTAAAGGCGTGATAGTGTAGTAAGGACTTGTGAGAGTGTAGTTCGGAAAAAAACCTGGTAAGAGTGTAGTGTGAACCTGGTGAGTATAGTCTGACCTGGTGAGAGTGTAGTCTGGACCTGGCGAGAGTGTAGTCTGGATCTGGTGAGTGTGTAGTCTGGACCTGGTGAGAGTGTAGTGTGGACCTGGTGAGAGAGTAGTGTGGACCAGGTGATAGTGTAGTTTGTACCTGGTGAGAGTGTAGTTGGGCCTGGTGAGTGTAGTTGGCCTGGGGAGTGTGTGGACCTGGTGAGAGTGTAGTGTGGACCTGGTGAGAGTGCAGTGTGGACCTGGTGAGAGTGTAGTCTGAACCTGGTGAGAGAGTAGTCTGGGCCAGGTGATAGTGTAGTTTGGACCTGGTGAGTGTGTAGTGTGGACCTGGTGAGAGTGTAGTGTGGACCTGGTGAGAGTGTAGTGTGGACCTAGTGAGTGTAGTTTGGACCTGGTGAGAGTGTAGTGTCGACCTGGTGAGTGTGTAGTCTGGATCTGGTGATCCGAACTTGCTCTCGAAAAGGTCGAACTTCCTTAAAAATGAGACTTTTCAAAAAAAAAAATTACATAATGATATATGATTTTTTTGTTGACAATGATAGAGATTTTTACTTTTGGATCAAAACTAACTTAAAAATCTCACTTAACCAAACTAAAACTAACGTATTTTTTTAGCTAGATTTTACTATACGTATCAAAGGTAAATTAAAATGTACTTAATATTGCTTAAAATAAATAATATATATATATTTTTTCATTATGGTCAGATTGATTTTCGCAAATTTATGGTAAAAACAAATTTTCATTATGCTTATTCGGCAGAGGGCATAATTGCCGACTTGGCCAAACTCACCTGTTCGGCTTATTCGTCACAATCTGAAAAGTTTTCATAATAGCCAGTACATCAACGAATTACATTTACCTATGTCCTTATAATAGTCTGGAATTAAATAATTTGTTAATTTTCACCTAAAAAGAACTCTCAAGTTGCTTCTTGAATCTACAGCAAATCTTACCGTCAGAAGCTCCATATGTGCTGTATTACTCTCAAGGGTTTAGCCCCTTTCTTTTGAAAGAGTGTATACGGCAGTAGAGGATTGTGCTCTATTCGACGTATATCTCTTGCTCTATTGGAGGGATTCTCCTTCGAAGGCGCTCCCTCTGAAGAACAGAGCAAGAGAAATGATGGATTGTACAATCCCTTCAGCACAGAGTATTAACCATAGCCGAAATTCATTTTATTCTTAATATAGCGCAGGTAGAACCTGCAATCTTCCAGGAACTTCTGATTGAACGTAACCGAGAAATTTACGAGTACCTTCCATGGCTGGATCTTAATGAACTTTTTCATTTGAAAATGGAAGTAACTTACGTAAGTTTTTGTGTACCATTAGAGTAAGTTTTATTTTCACCATTGTGCACCTTGTTAAATAGCTTATTTTATACTTACAACATTTGATAACAACACTTCATTTAAGATTTTAGTTTCAGAGTCATTGTTTTAATTATAGTGTAAAAATATATTAGTGTATATATTAGTGATTATTATCATAATAAAATAATTTAATTCAAAATGCAGAATAATTATTTTTTTAAATTTTTCTGTTCAAGTAATTGAGATTGAAATTGTGATTAAAACTCCAGAAGAGTAATTGAAATTGTAATTAACTTTGAATCACGTAATTACTCCAGTGGTACAGGGAAATATTTAATCTGAACATAACCACTCTATATGGTGAGCATAAGTAATTCCGTAAATTTAGTATTACTGTTATTGACAGAATTCTCATGCATTTTATTACAATAATTATTGGTTATTCATGTTATGAATATATATTATATATAAATATATATATATATATATATATATATATATATATATATATATATATATATATATACACTGGAGACCTATGTCCTCAGTGTAGATAACGAGGATGCTGGGAAAAATATTTTAATTTCTTCCTGAGGCCGTTTGAATTTTCCGGTTCTCTGGCTTAGCCCATTTTTTTTATAAGTAAACTAATGTGTATGGCTTACGTAATTTGGTACACAACATTTAAAACATATGTTGATGGTATAATGATATTGGGATATAAAACACATAAGGTTTGGTGGATGTTTGTCAACAACTGCATATAAAACATACCTGCAAGTAACTCAGTGCTGGGAAGCGTACCCATGATACAACAGCACTGAATCTTTTACCCACCTCCTAGAGTATCTTCGATGTATTCTTTCTCCATGAGCCGGGGCGTCCTTGATTCTGCTGGAACAATCATGCAGTGTTGAGCTTGTTCGTCATTGTCTTTAGTTTTTTTTTTTTTACTCTTTTTATTGACTGCCAGATTAATGAATCAAGAAATGGTGTACTGAAACCATATTCAACACGTTTATCATCTCATGGGAATAAAAGAATTGCAGATAAAAGCAGGACAATGTTTTTTGAGAAAGAGAGCACATTTTTTTTTACTTTTGCAATATATTTTGTTAATTTCATATATACATGATATGATGAAGCTTTTAAAGACATTTTATTTTTCACGTGTCCAAGCTT